CTTTGGAGTCAGGGTTAATTTCAACAGTGACTTCAGCGGAGCCAAGACTTTACCACATGATCCAGCTAAAAAGAGTTATTCTTTTCACTCAGCGATAGAAGTTCAAAGTTTCCTATCCAGCTTCAGGTTTTGGAGACAGCTTAAAAACAGGTGTTCCTCCGTTACACTTGGCTATTTTCTTCTGCAACCACTTGACCATATTTATCCCACAAAGCATTAACTGAAACTTAAGCTGCAGACCTGACTGCTTTTCCCTCACTCACACATAGAGGAAGAATCCAGGGGCAGGTGGGTGCCACATCTCTGTCCACAGATCAGATCTATCCTACCACCTACGACCTGGAGTCGACACAGAAAAAGTGCATGCAACGTGTCTGGTGGTTGCATTTTAAACACTAGTAATAACCTCTGGCTTATCTAGAGAGGGGAATAAAGTTACACTTATTTTTGTGTGAACGATTCTTTACAATTACTTTATACTGTAAGAATATGTGTCTAAGAAAGTATATGTGTGTATTGCTAGGTTTTTTAAACCTGTTAAAAGTTTTACGATTAAGGTCCCAAATCCAGAGTTCACATCACAGCCTGATCACCAGATGAGGCTCTAAGCTTTGATTTTATCACATCTGTGTACATTACCTAGAGCAACAAAGTCTTGGAATCCTGGCTTTTCTACACACAATGATGTAACTCTAATTGGACAAATTTATACCATTGAAAGACGGTATAAATACATGCCTATAGCTGGTTTCCTTATGCCTGTTGTTTGTGCTCACCAGGGAACTTGTCCCATCATAGGTGTTTTAGTAGAGCCACATATCTCTTAATTGGTGCTACAATTTTCAAGCATGGCTGGTTGGCAATAACTGTCTCATACATACTAGGATCTGGCAGAGAAAGCTGAAAAATGAGACAACTGCTAAAAAAATGATTTAACATTTAAAAATGAGTAATAACCTCATTCTATTTGTGCCAATCATGTGGTTTATGAAATTCTGGGACTGATGATCTTACCAACAGTAGGCTGATTGAAACACCATGGAGCTGGTGCATGGATGGTCTCAGTAAGAAGCCCATGTGCCTGGAATTAATTTCGCTCAGCTGGATGAAGCTTGGGGCACTGAGATAATACTGTTTTACTTCTGGTTTGGGGAGGTAGAAAAGGTTTTTGGGAGAGGACAGTCTTTCAATTTTTGGGTTTGAATTGGTACCTGTAAGGTTCGTGAAGATGGTGCATGCAGTCACAACACTGGCCACTCTCAAATGCATGACTTCTTCAGCTTGAGTGGGCTGTGAATATAGCATCAGCTACAAAAACTGGTGATCTCTTCTGAAGATTTTTAGCTCTATATTTACTACAAAGGAAGACAAACTCAGTTGTTTGTGCAATATTACAGTTAAACTTGCCTAGCTGGTATTATTATATAGATATCCAACTGATGAGTCCTACATACACACACACACTAACACCCTTGTGTGCAGGATTGAAAACTTAACAGGATTGTGATTTTGAAGACTGGGCATGTATAGATGCACTAAGAGCTAAGCATCAAAAGATTTTGACATTTTTTCTCATGACTGCCTACATGACTGCCTGAGTGCAAAACTGGTGCTCTGCTTTCTTTCACCTAGATTCAGATTCCAGTTTTCTTTCCCTCTCCCACTCATTCAAATTGATTAAGATTTACCTAATCCAAGCAAGAAGAGACAGTCCCTTCTTCTCAAAAATACTGGTCATGGCTTCCTGCTTTGGAGCTGCCTGCAGTCCTTGAGCCAGCTGGAAGTTTTATGTGTCCAGACAGAAGTGGATGCTACTCCCATGTTTGCCTTTCTCTTTAATGAGTTGTTCACTACGTAGGAGGTACAAAGCCCTTTTCTACTGGCTAGGAAAATGCTCAGCCTCAGAGTGAAAACTTTTTATAAGTAATCCTTATTTTACCTAAATGTAAAGAAAGCATAATGCTAATCTTCTTCTTGTGCCAAAGGCTGCCCCCATGCCACTGGGCCCTGTCAGTCCTGCCTGCTGCACCTCTGAAAGATTTTGTGATACGGCAGCAAGCCACACAGCATACCTCATAATTTTCCTTACTGGTTGTTATTCTTAATACACCATAGCTTTTGAATCACAAAGAAAACAGTCACTGTGACAAATACATTTACGCTTTTGTTAGGTAAGGATAGTCCGTCCATAGGAATCTGTGCGAGGGGTTTCAAGATACAACCTTTGTGCCTTCACACATGCAGAAGCCTACAAATCTGTACCATATTTAAAGTGTCTGCATTTTAAATATAGCTATGACTTTATACATACCTCAGATTGCAGGAGGACCAGAGTCCTCAGCTGAGAACTGTCATTTGTTTAGCTCTGTCAGCCAAGATGAAAGAAATGTTAAAATTTACTCTAGGTGTATCTAGACAGAGATGTATTTACTTTATTTTTTGTGCCTATGAATTCCTTTATACACTTTTGTGTATTTTAGATCTATTTCACAAACACTTTGTTTGCATTTGTCTTAAATGGCTTTGGATTAAGGGTGATTTAAATTAAATGAGGTGCACAGCAATTTGTAACATAGGACTGGAACATTCATACAGAGCTGACATCTCTCCTACACTTGTCCAAACCTATAGCAACCTAGATGTGCTTTCCTACAAAACTATATTCTAGCAAACTCAAACTATCAACTGTAAAAAACTGTAAAAAAGCTCAGAAGAGCCTCAGTACATTTCTTAAAAATGACAGAGCTTTAAAACCTTTCAAAGAGAAAGCAAAAAAGAGCAGGGAAGAAGGCAACAAGTACCCAGTACCACACTAAAAAGAAAAGGTTGTCTTAATGTCAAACCAACATCTACTTCTAAGCTTTAGCCACATTCTCATACTCTTATCCTGTCAACACCAGTGGAAATACAGATCAGTGATTACCCAAGGGCACTACCATTTTCCAGCAGAAATAGCTCTTGCATTTATTCAATCTTTTGGAAATAATCCATGGAGTTTGCAAAATTTTACAGTTTACTGCCACCAAGGTCACAGTAACATGGGTTTTCTTTTGCAATCCATCAGGAGAATCAAAAGACAACATATATCATATAGAGAGTATTGCAACATTAACCCCATACAACTGTCCATGGAGATAGCACTTGGTGCTGTTCATTGTGGCTTTATGGCAATGCGCCTTGAGAGTAGCCTTCCAAATCATGCTTGTATGTGAAAGTCATATTGTTTCCAATGAAATAACAGTACATACAGGCTTGGCAGATTCCTGACCTCTACGGTTTTTGACAGACTCCCAAATTTAGGACTAAGAATGTCAGACTGACCCTGTATTTGGCAAGAATAATACACGACCTGGCTTTATCAAACTCTGCCATAAGTCTGATCTCATTTCCATAAAAAAAAGTATTAATGTAATATTTGCATTTGTAATCAAATAGAAAATTGAACTGTCCCCTATTTAATTTACTATGTTGGACTTGGAGAATCACTGAGGCTTATACATCATAAAAGAAAAAACTAAATGAAATTGGTGGCACTTGTATATGGCAATATTTCATATCTGTCAGAATACTGCAAATTACATGAGAAAAAAGCATGTAATAAAGTTCTGAGTTCAGTTGTTTGTCCCATACTACATTGCATTATTGAAAATGCTAAACTTAAGTTGTTGACTCTGCTATTCAAATCAGAAAAAATATCAATGGCTTAATGCTATTATGAATCTAGCAGTATATGGGATAAGACTAAATCTTTAAAAGTTTGCAATGGAGGTTTTAAAGAATCCACATTCTTTTTTTCTCACATTTTCTGACCTCATTTCTGAGTCAGAAGCAGAGAGGGTGGAGTGTAATAATTCTACCCAGGCCATTTGACCAGGCAAGAAGCCCAAGAAAAATGATTTTTCCATATACTAACATTAATAAGTAGTAGAACCCTAAAGTTACTTTTCAAGACTTCAATTATTATTTTGAACTTAACACTGTATAAATTAAATAGTTTCGCAAGGCCCTTGCAGTATGGCTTCTCCTTGTGAATTTTCTTGTGAATTATACTGATTTTGGTTTTCAGGCTACCCAACGTATCATTTTCTTTCACATTTTCTTTATGTGTATTTTTTGATTTTACAGTGAGTGTACAAAATGCAATAGAGTTTCTAGATGGAGATCACCCAGGTGATGACAACACACATTTTTTGCAGTAAGCTCAACCGAAATGCATGTGACTGGGTTAATACTGAGACAGATTCATCTTGTTAAGGTTCCTGAGGGTTTGTTCCTCTCCAAACCCTACATGGTACAGCCTCCAAATTAGTGTCCTCCCATGGGGAAAGACTAGTACACAAGTGCTCCTCTCATATTCACAACTCTGCACCAGCAGTAACATTCTGCAGCATGATAGTTCTGACAGCCAATTTAACTGAATCAGCTCCCCCAACAAGTCTTTTATCTGCTGGATTTTTTTTTTTTTTTTTTTAATACATTTAACGTTTCTGTTACCCTACGCCCAGGCTAAATAAGTTATTCTTTAAAAAATCCTACCTTTGTTTCCTACTTCTAGAAATCCACTTCACAGTGACTTTTGAGATCTCAAACACGCAAAGAGGAGACTATAAGCAAACACCTGATGCTCCAGTGCACAAACTCCAGAGCAAGAAGACTGTTGACCACCATGCCCTGCTTTCCTCAGGGTAAATCCTTTCCAGAACCCTACTTTACTTGATCAACAGCCTCTCTAGCACACTTTTAATTGCATTTGGACTTACATGTAACAGGAATACATCAATGCTGACATAGGCTTTACCAAAACTTGTATCAGAAAAGAAAGACTCCAAGATAGCAACAAGTATGAATTAGCAATGGGCATTTAAATGCTGCACTGCAAATAGAACATCCTATTAGGCCTTTCCAATATAAACGTGATCCAGTGTACTGTACCACACATTACTGCACATTTTTTAAAATTTCAAATGTAAACCATGAAGAAAATAAAACCGTTTTCTTACTTTCGACGGAACATTTCTGCAAATATGCAGCCAACACTCCAAAGATCGACTGGTGTTGCATAGCTGGACTGAAGCAAAACTTCAGGAGCTCTATACCACAAAGTAACAACCTGTAAAACAAAAATGAACATAAAAGAGAGCATGCTTAGTTACATAAATACAACTTCGTAAGTGCTGTGTATACAGCTCCCATTTAGTTTAATCCAAATCATAAATTTCACAAATTAGGGCAAACTGTCTTGGCCAGTGCATAGAAAAGGGCCCTGTAAGGAAAACCTTAGTATAGATAGCTGCAGTGATGATGAGCTGGGAAATTAGACCACTTCATGCCAAGAACAGTCCAGTTCAGGGTACAGCAAAAATACAGTAACAGAGTCCAGTGTTGGTGTGATATCACTGTATCACAGCACACTATGAGAAACACTGACACTTTTGCAACTTACAGGCTTCCAAACACTTTCCAGTGGAGATCTGGATTCTCCTAGAGCAAATGTTAGTCTACTTAATAAGTTCTTAAACTTTTGTGGACCCCTTAGATGTAGTCACCAGAGCCAAACTGGAAACAAATAAGCTAAGGAATGACATGGGTTTACCCATAGGACAAATCAGAAACTTGTCTGTCCTATGCCCTTCATAGTCTATGTATTATTTTTTGTTAAAGGAATGGGGTTAGCTCAAGTGTATGGGCCAAGATGGGTGAACATGTCTGACCCATCTCAAAAGCTCTTGCTGAAGAAACAACTTTATTTTTTTTAAAATCAATTTCATATAGATTAAGTCAATCCTCAAAGATGTTCCTTATGAAAGGTATTCAGTGCTGCCCACTGTGGCTTCCTTACACACTAGAGGTACCTCAAACTCAGTTTTCAACTGAGCAACAGAGCATAGGGATCGCTGGCAGATTCCTGAGCTTTCTAACTGTGTGAGAGTCTCTGCCCATGTGCTGCTGGTTAGACCAGCAGTAACTTCTCTCAGAATTTATTTCTGAATGACACACTCTTTTCCCAGGGACATAAGCCACGTAAAGCGTCTGCTTTTAGGCTGTTCTTCTCCTGGTGGTCATGTTGCAACATCTTGTAGACATCCAGTGGGAATTTTACTGGTACTGCTTCATCAATGTACTTTGATGTGTCCTGCATATTGGACCCACAACAGAGATGGGACAGTTTATCCTTTTGTTTCCCACACGTAGACCAAATACAGACAAAGCTGACTGTATCTTCAGTGTATTTACAGAAGAACCCAAGGACCTTCTTCAGAGTCCTGCCTGATCTATTATGTTGATGGAATATAATCTCAGAGCCATGGGAGTATCCTGCTCCTGAATACAGTTACAATACAGCCATAACAACACATGATCATCCCCTAAATAACAGTATTTTCTTACTGTGTGCTATAATTTAAACCTCTGACTATTAATCTGGGAGCATGGAGGGTCTCAGCAATTATTGCTTTGTTTCTACTACAGTCACAAATGTTGGAGATACAGCATTCAGAAGGAGCATGAAAAAAAGCAAAAACACTGAAAAGGAACAAATGTAAAGACAAGAACAACTTTAAAAAGTACATTAACTAGGATAGCAAGTTCTGAATTTCAAGACCAGTACAAAGAAATGCATAAAAAGAGTGGGTTTTTTTAATGATAACAAAATAATTGTCTTTTAAGCAAAAATAACAATGGAAGTAATCAGCCGAATTTGCTGGTCAAAGACAGCTGAAACAAAAGCAAATAAAACATTTATTACAATCATTACATGCCATGACAGCCTTTGGAACTTCTGAATGGCTATTGAAGGGAGGTTCACGGATATTTGCACAAGTGGTCATATTTGCTAACAGTCCTCTTAAACACTTTGATCTCTATTCATAAAATTTGTCTTTGAAACAGTTCAATAAGACAGTGCAAAGTACTGCACTGGCAAACCAGACTTCCAGGTACCTGTCCACAGAAACAGATTCCTATGTGGAAGTTGGGCATTATTTAACTCCATTTGTCTTGTTCCTGATTTGGTACCATACAGACCACTGATGCTTTTTCCAAAATATTTCTCCTGATAAAAACCAGGAAAGTTTCTTCAGAGATTCACTCCAGGGAAAGAAGACAAAGGTACAGGAGCTTAGGGATTTTACTGGAGCTGCCCTATCTGAGTCACATGGATTTCCTCCTAAAACACATACATATTTTTCCTGATGCAGATATAGCTCTGAAACTGAACTGCACTTCTAGTCTCTCAGTACATTTGTGGAAAAGCTTACTTAAGTGCTGCTTTGAGAAATCAGATATAACAATTTCAACTCATTATTGTTTGTCAGTGGCTGGGTGCGGCGTCAGAAGTAAGAGCTCTATGATCTCTGATCTGTGGGAATACCACCAAACCTCATGATTCCTGGTTTGAGATCCACATGGCTCTTCTCACACAGAATGAAAGGGTGCTTTACTTTCCCCAGTCCCCTCAGCCCTCCACATTAAGGCTCTGCACTCTCACAGGCAAAGGATTAGGGGATGCATGGTTGTGTCTGCACAGTCTGAATACTTCTGACAATGTATGCTCCAAACTGCAGTCTGTTTTCCAGGGAAGTTGCTTGTTTCCAGAGAAAACTGTTGCAGCTCGTGGCCAGTCCCCAGGTGCTGGCTCAGGGGGCACAGCGCTGTGTTCAGAAGGCTGCAGAAGCGTGCAACACGTTAGCTGCTTCTCCCACGTGACCACCTACTGGCACAGGTCCCCAGGCGTTTGTACCCTGCAACACCCCATGCACGCACACACAGGGACCTGGACATTTTACTTCTGAGTAATTTGGAAACTTCAGCCTTTTTAAGTATATGTATATATTTCCAAAGTCTCACAGTTAAAATTCCAGCAAATGCCTGATTGCTTTATAGTCAAAGAGGAAGTAATCTGTGTTGAGCTGTTTTGTTACAGTTCGTCATGACTCTGTAATTATAAAAGTGACCAAGTAACCTTTGTGGTTTGTAATAAGTAAGTCTGTGTTTCAAAATGTGAACCTGAAAAGAATCAAAATATACTGAATGTCAGTCTGCACACAAGTAATGCTACAGACGAATCCTCTAGTGGTCAGGGTCTTCTGAAAAGCACAGAATGATGCAGATGATGCAGTGGTTTTGACAGAGTTTCACACTCTCTCTTACCATAGAAACCAAGAAAATATTTGTGGACATTCCATTAACATTTGCAGATAAGTTGAAATGAAAATTATTCTGAACACAGGATATGGTGAGACTGAACAACTAGATCATCATTTCCTCTTTAACACAGTTCTGACTTAGAATGAAAAAATGCTTTGCTTAGGTAAGCCACACCACCAGTGAAACAGGCTCTCCCTGAGAGATACAGCACTTGATAAAGAGCTGCTTGCTGAAGTCCCATTTTTAGGATGAAGAAACCAACCACCTTCATTGGCACATTCCACTGCGTCTGCCTCTCCTGAAAGTCTGAGAAACATGTCATGTGGCACATGGTGATTTCTGTAGGAAAAGGAGTTCATGCACACATGCTGACAGAGATCCTAAATTCAGCGCAAGACTCCTGAAAACTTGAGAGGTTGTAGGCTTTAGTGACCATGTCACATCTTAGTCCTCCCATCAAATAAGCTTCCCTCCTTTGCCTCCTCCTCACTTCTCCTCACCCTGCCTGGTCTATTTTGCCCCTCTCTTACAACAGCCAGGTTCCACCCAGATGACCCCTGCCTCCTGGCTCCTCTCCCCTGCCTCTGCCTTCATACCCCATGCCAGTGTCCCCCGTGACAGTGTCACCCAACATGACCAATCCACCCTGTTGCTCATGTGTAGACACCCGGGTGGACTCAGCCTGCTACCCCGCCATGTCCCATGTGCTCTGCCTTCCCTCACATTCCCTGTCTGCTTCCTTCTCACCCTCAAACTCCCTGAATTTCACACTGTCCCCTCTTTTCCCAACCGCCTCAGAAGGCTCCTGGGTCAGATTAGCTCCTTTTTCTCCTTTAGCTTCTCAGCCCACTCTGCCTGTCCTGAGGATACCGTATGACATTTGTATTTCATAGTCTGATCAACATACAAAAGAGACTAATTCATACACTGGAAGGAGTGCATACTTAAAGGAGTAACTATGCTCCTTTTCCAGTGTGTATTTGTGTTTTCACTACCCAGATAAGATGGGATGATGCGAGATAAAAACGATATCAGTAGCTGCAGATTGCTGGTTCTAACAATTTGAATGTCAACAGATTAAGGCAGCACTTCAGGATGAAAAGAAATGAAATGTACATCTGAGAGGTATTAGAAAGGAAAAGGACATCTGCAAAAGTCTACTGAGACTGTGTCTGACCCCCTAAAGAAGGAAATGTGCTCAGTGAGAAGCAAGGGGACAGCTGCATTTAGAGTCAGAGAAGAACTTTATTTTGAAATACAGCTTTCTCCCTTATTATACATGACAGATTTTGCTATCTGGGATCATCAAGCCCCAGGAGTTTCAATCCTGCAGTTCATGGTACCTGTTCCTGATGAAAAGTCAAATTAGTGGTATCTGCTCACTAGCAAAGTGAACATAAGACCTAGGCATTGTGTCAGTCTCATTTAATTTCCATTTACTTTACAGAGCAGATTTTAGCTTTTGGAAAACTGCTTAAGTTAAATGGATCTCACAATACATAGCCCTTTCCAAATATAGTTGCTGTCTGAATAGCATACAGTTCAAAAAAGACAAACAGAGGTTTAGGGATGGGGTTCAGTAACATAGACACAAAAGACTACATTTTGGTTTGCCACAGACTTTAAGTACAGACCAGTGCTCAGTTGCACAGCTACAGGAACAAAGCAGGGATCAGACTGTAACACAGAGGCTATGTCTGTGCTAGGAAATTAAATGGGAAGGGAAATGTTCCTTTGGCACTGAGACCAACAGGCACAGAGTGGCCTATGTCCATATTATTAAATTCTCAGCCCCTCAAAAAAGGTGACCGCATGCAAACTGCTTATTGGGAATGATGTCTGGTCCATGCTTAACTGTGCCTAGGAACTGTCTGGAGAAAGGCTGGTTGGCATAACTTAAAACCATGCCAGGAACTATTCTAATAATTTAGCAGTATAGACAATTGAGCTCCAGTACCCATGAAC